TATCTACTCTGTGTCACATCCCACAAGACTACTTTCGTCATAGTCACCGCTGTGAAAACCTCGAATCCTACAAATACTTTTTGTTTTCTGCAGTGCTCTGCCTCAAATGCTGACAAGGCCTATCATTATCAGCAATAAAATTTGTGTTCCTGCGCATTACCGTATTCGTATTGCTGATTAACGGCCAAGAGCAGGAATCATGGTCCTGTCGAAAGCAGAATATGTCCTCTTTCTTAATTATATCCACTATAGCTCTCTATGGCCGGTCACGCTAGCCGAGCGGTCTAAGGCGTGCACTGTCTTCGCTCGCTCGGAAGCCGGGATCGTGGGTTCGAATCCCACTCAGGGCATGGATGTTGTTTGAGCGTTTTTCTGTGTTTGTCTACAGGTAGAGGCCTTGCGAAGAGCTGATCGCTCGCCTACCGAATGTGTATGATATAGAAAAACCGAAGTGAACGGAGTTCAAGGAGGTAGGCCTAGGCCCACTGGGGCTGTAGTGCCAAGGGAAAAAAAATTGTTTATGAAGTGAAGAAACCATTAATTATTAACATTAGCTTCCAAACAACTGTAGTAATAACGAATTGAGGAAATTTTTCTGTGGCCAAGTAACTATTTTTTTTCAATCATTCGCGACCATGACTACGCCAATTCACGCAGTGTTTCTCTAACAGAAAAAAATTACAATACTAAGCAAAAAACGAGAATGAAATTGCAACAACTCAGTTCTGCTGCTGTTGCTTATCAGCAGACCGTCTCTGTGTTGTCTGGTCACACATACAGAGAAAACTGCTCAGCCGCAGAATGTACTGAAAAACACTACAATAGAGGAGCATGTATTTAAATAAAAAATTAGCATGCTGAAAGGGAGTAGCATTTATCTGCTCCGAACTTTCCATTTCCGGCATCCTCGTAAGTAGTGAAAATATACAAAAGTGTTCATTCACGGCTCATTTCGCACTAGGAACACTTTGACTGTCACTGCAAGGCTTCCCAATTAAACAAATTCTATCAAAGTTTTAATTCCATTACAAATATACTGTCTCACGTTTCCATCGTGTGTCATAAGAAAACTCTATTGCGAAATCTGAGAAAATTGCTTTATAAGAAAATAAGACCAAATAAGCTACTAATAACACCACGGCTTCATATACATACTAAGGAGTACAAGAAGCACACTGCTTATTTCTGACAGCGCGACAAAGTGAGAGACATTTCACTTCGGGGTGAGGAAGCGTGTCACTTTGTCGAAAGGTTCCCAAGCTTTCTGATGACAGTATGAAATCGGAGAAGAGTGGTAAGAAATATTACCTAGACACAGGGGTAGAGGAATTTTGATATGATTAACGGCAGAATTTTAAAATTCGGATGTACACTGTTGTATCCTCCATAACATGAGGTTTAGTTTTGATACTTTATAAATTGGGGGGCTGCATAAGAATTATACGGTACCTCCTTTGAACTCGGAACCCATCATAGAATTTGGTGCAGAGAGAGGAAGGCCAATATAACTCACGTCTACAATGCCGGCTGCAGGACTTACTTGCTCACTGCAATACGGCAAACAAACTTATACAAAAGTGCCGTATGCTTTCGTAACATGAGTGCCGTTGCTTTACTGATAATTTCAGTTGCATTATCACTTGATGTAATATTACACTGGTCCGAGAATGCGCCGTATTTAAAAGTTCTTACACCTCCAAAAATACGTCGCACATCCATTACAAAAATCAGTCGGTTAATAGTTAGACGGAAAAATAGTTGTTTACTGTGAAAAGCCAGAAACATAAATATGCAACATGGCGAAACGCGTACGTCTTAAAGAAATAAAGCAGGTAAGAAAATAGCAGGCTAACTTAGTAATCACTGATTCCATGGCGAAGCTCATCAAAATACGAGTATCATAAATGGCCTCAAACTTTGAGGGTTATTTGAATAAAGGATCTAAGATGTTTTTTATTTTTTAATATGACAATGAAAAGTATTTTCGAATAAGTCTTACGTACTTTAATGGGATCTGTACTTTATGGTCTGCATATATTTTGTAGGACGATCTATTCTTGATAGAACCGATTAAGTTATGAAGAAACAGTCTTCTGAGATGTGATGCAGTTTAGATATTGTGTTAACCGACGTTTCGGACTAAATAGTCTGTTAGCACCTGCTGACGCTGGTTCCTCGCTCGCGGATTTTCTTCTTTTTCTTCTACCTTAAAGATGGAGGCGATACTCTCCTCCGAAACGTCGGTTAACACAATATCTACACGGCGCCACATCCCAGAAGACTGCTTTCTTCATAGTCATCGCCGTGAAAACCTCAAATCTTATATACGGTTAAGTTACAATTGGTATTCATGTGAGGTACAAGTTACACTGAATCCACACGAACAAAAATTAGATTTATACGATAAATTTTAGTGTAGGCTACATGCACTAGATATAACTGTTGTCCGTCAAGTAATTTTGGATATAGGGGGTGAGAACTCTCGATCACGTACCGAAAGCATAAAAATGACTTACTACTCAACGGGTACATGAAAATAAATATAAGCTTCATTAAGGTCTGCAGGTTTTCTCATGAAAACTATCTAACCTGAGATACACAAACGGCTTTACAATGTGGGCTGAGCCACTTGATGCTAGAATCCACTTGGAAAGTTTCAACGTTGCTTATTTTTCGTAAAAAAGGTGTTCACTAATGCAGCTGTATGGAGATATTCCCATAATTCCCTATACGTGTAGGTATATTGTATGGGAGATAATCAGGGTCATGTTATTTGGAAAAAAATTTATATTTTTATTGCTATTTTCACGGAAGTTACTTGAAAGAGTAGTTGTATCCTTTTCATAATAACAGGCTCAATTCCTGCTCAATTTAATAACACAAACCAAACACCGAATTTAAAGTNTTAACTATTAACTATTTTAACTCACTGTCCAGGTATTAATGCGTACATTTCTAATTCTAAATACATTTGATGTTAAATTGTTCTATTTTGTTGCTATCCTAAACATGGAAATAAGACATTCCTCAGAAAAGTTCGTAACCACCTATCCAATGCGCCGGTTTCCCACAGCGGCGGCCAGGATTCGAGCCCAGGTCATGTGGGATTTATGGTGAACAAAGTGGCACTGAGGCAGGTTTTCTGTGAGTACTTCGGTTTCCCTGCCAATTCTCATTCCACCGACTGCTCCACACTCATCAGCTAACATCCGGGGCTGGTACAACACACCAGCCAGTGACCGACGTAACAAGTGGACTCAGTTTCACCCCACCCCAAGAAACTACAAAAAAAAAAAACAGACTAAAAAACACCCATGAAACTACATGGTTTCACAGACCACAAGACCACACTCTACTCTTCACGTCACCTACACAACTACACCGAAAATTTATGAACAAGTTGATAGATCGTTATGACATACGTCATAGGGGGACACTTCAAATGACTACTTTGGATATTTTACGTCAGTAGTAATATGGCGAATAACCTAACTGATGCCACCACTCAATACAGAGTCCTGGAATTGTGTATAACAGATCTTTTTCCGTTGCTTATTTATCGATGCTGTCAGTGTCGGGGTCTCTATAGCGTCAGCAATTTGGATAATTAATGAATTTGGAGCAAGTGTTGGAAATAATATTGGCAGAGGAAATCGATGTATTACGAGAAAAATCGCCCTAGGGCCATTCTGACCATCATAAATCTCAAATGACCTTACTTGGGATCGAAACCGGCCGTCGAGAAAGGTAGCCAGCCACTAACCACTTGAACTACAACCTAATAACAGGTATTCGAAAAAATATACAATTTTTTTTGAGATAATTGCTTTTGTAGAACGGCGGCGATGCCGAAGTGTCCATCTAGCTTTCAGTTTCAGAGCGATAAATAATAAAATCTCTCTCTCTTTGTCTTCTTCCTGTTGCTCCCACCTGGAGCATAGGGCATTCATGAAACGCTTTGTTTCATTTCAGTTTCTTAATTTTGAGACAATCGGTAGAACTCCCTGGAAAGGGGATCAGCTCGTCGCAAGGCCGCTACCTACACACATATAGAACAAACGCCGTCATCCATCATGTATTTAGTTATCCTGTTGCGTTACTATATCTAAAACTGTTTATTTACTATACAGTCCGTCAACAATGCAACAAATTGTTCCTTCTTTTTTTCACTTTCGATACATGTTTCGGCCCTAAATGGCCATCTTCAGGTGTCTTACTATGCTAAAACTGCTACACTGCACTAATATTATCGATTCATCACATATGCAACTGTACGCTTCATGATTCAAAACGTCATAATCGTAGATTATAATATTAGCATATATCTGTAGGACTGGAAGCTTGTGAGATAAGAAGGTGTGTTTCATGGGCTGTGGCCAAAACTCCTTGCTTGATTCCCATATATCAGGACTACTCTTCACTTTTTAGTAGCTTTTGTGACAGTCTCTTCAAAGAAAAAAAGGACAAACATGTAAATATTATTCCAACTTAAACAAAAGCTGGTCAAAATTGGTTAATTATTACTTTTCACGGAATAAAGAACACTATACAGAAAGTCACTGTTCCGTGGTATCGCGTAAAAGAATTCCTACCTAGTACGTCGCCTATACATGACAACGAAACAGATTAAACTTTTACGATCAAGTTTCTCATTAAACAGCTTACACGTCCATTTCGAGTCTCTTTGGCCTTTTAGAAAAGAGTATATCATCCGATTTCACGTGGTGATAGTCACAGGTTACAAATATCTGTGGCCATTCAAATTTTCCGTATCTCTCCTATGTAATGTAATTATACAAAATAGAACAACTGCTTTAGCACTTTGCGTTGTTTTGGAAGGTAATTTCCGTTCTTCGTTTCAGATTTAGAACGGTAACTAAACAGATTTGAAAAGACACACTCGGACACAAACATGCATTTCTCGAAAATAAGAAGTTTAATACAGTTCTTATGCAGAGAGCAGTGACTGTGTGTTGCACGTCAAGGTGTTTCCTACTCACCTGACGAAGGCGTAGCCCTTGTCCTTGAAAACTCGGATCTCCTGGATGTTTCCGAAAGCTGAGAAGGTTTTCTGCATGAGTTCCTCAGTGAGGCCATTGGTGAGACCCCCGCAGTACACCGTGCAGTTGGTGGGGCTTGACTGGTTGTACACCTCATCGAACGTGAGTGGCTTCGCGTTCACTGCACAGACAACAAAGCCTGAGTGTTAACTGCGAAACAAAGTTAAGGGTTTAATTAATCTGAATTATACGTGCAGACAACATAGCCTAAGATGTCGCTGCAACACATCCAGCGGAAAGAAATGGAAATGTGTGGATAATTAATCTGGATCAAAGTGAACAGACAACAAAGACTTGATCGTTAAATGAGTATTAAAGTTAAAGGTTTAATTAATCTGGATTATACGTGCAGGCAACATAGCCTTAATAAGTTGCTAGATTATCTTCAGTGAAAAAAAAAATACTGTGAGCACCCTGCAGAGAGTACCAAGGAGCAAAATCTGACTATTGTATCATCAGAGTAGAGTGCAAAGGTGCAAACCTATTCTAGTCTCTTTGACACCCAAAATGGAATCCATTCTCTGTTACATCTCATTTCTTACAGGCGCTAATTGATTGTTCTATCATTTAACGACTTTGTTTCAGCTGTATATATCAGAGTAACCTGAGATGGAGAGGCGACCATAAGTGTTTGGGGCGTAAGAATTTGTAAAGATGGCAGTCATGGCCTATCCAATAGCCCCACCCCGGTATTGGCATGTAGAGATTCTAACGCGTCCAAAATTCTAACCGGATATTACCTTGTTTCTGCCCTGAGAGTAATAAACCATGTGACGAGTAAATAATTTTGTAAATACCTCCAATCTGTTATTCGTAGAAAGACGAGTATGTCAAAATGCAGAGTCTGGGGCCTTGTTTTCGCCTGTTTGCTGCAGTAAACCTTTCTTTTCTTTTGAAGTGCATACGGAAAATGTGCGTATTACGAGAAAAGGCAAACGACTGGTTATATGCGAAATAGCTTGGCACGTTNTCCAATCTGTTATTCGTAGAAAGACGAGTATGTCAAAATGCAGAGTTTGGGGCCTTGTTTTCGCCTGTTTGCTGAAGTAAACCTTTCCTTTTCTTTTGAAGTGCGTACGGAAAATGTGCGTATTACGAGAAAAGCCAAACGACTGGTTATATGCGAAATAGCTTGGCACGTTCAAAGTTAGACACACCGCACTTTCTTCCCTTCCCTTTCCTTTTTATTTTAGCTTCTTGCTTCGGTTCTTTTATAAGAGAAACTCAGAAGAAGTTTTCCGTGTAATTTACGTTTCATGATGAGAGTTCAAAGAACACAGAGCGAAGTGTGTGTGGGGAGGGTAGGGGGTGGTTGCAGTATAAGCTGTAAGAAGTCTCAGATACTCCCGGCTATGGAAAACGAGGATCCGATAACAAATGGATATTAATCCATTCTGTTTAAAGGGTGAGAGTACTATTGCGAGACGAGCTAGTTTAGCTAAGTAACCGGTTACTGGACTACTGGGGTTCAATACCCTACAGAAGAAACAATTTCTCTGTTTTCAACCGCTCCTGTGTGGTCTCTTCTATTTCCTTCTGCCAGACAGATTACGTCATGCAATCTTTACGCCTTAATCTATCGTTTCTTGGGAACTGGGAAATTATGAATTATGAAATATTTAATGTTGCTATTATTATTGCTGTTAAAGCTATACATTTCTTTTTGTCGTCTGGTAAAAATAACTTGACTGTATTAATGGCATCACTATTATCATTTAAGTGATCCAAATTGCCTTGTTCTCTCTGTGTGTGTATGATATGTTCTGTTTCTTTACTTTACTCGTGCTTTCAGATTTACTGGAAACTGAACATGCAGACATATGAAGAATTGCACTGAATTATTGGATTTAGAGGGACGGGAGGCGTATGGGGCAATTGGGAAACACTCCCAAGATTCTGGTCTGAACTCTATAAGCTCTATCGAAACTATATGAGCCGGACGGTATGTTGATACATGAATGATAACGAATTGGAACTCATTTTGAAGAGAATGGCATCGGTCTGATCGATGAACTATGCCAGAATTTGCATGGAGGAACTGAGGAAAACTACGAAAAGTCTCAGTCAGAATAGCAAATTTTGTGGCTGAGATGCGAATCCAGCGTCTCCCTAATTAAAGTCTATAGCTTTACCTCCAGACTAATGATAATATTAAGATAGATCTCAGAAAGCTACGACAAGAGGGTGTTGACTGGACCCACTTGGCTCAGTACTTCTTGAACACGGTAATAATGTTTCAGATTCCTTGTCCTACTGAGTACATGCCAACGAAAACCGTACGTACAGGACGGAGGTGGTTATGTTCTGTCTTCAGACTAAGCAAGCGGTTATCAGTCTGTCAAATTTTACGTGCAGAGATAAGAGGTTCTCACAAAAGAAAAAAAAAAACAACAGTCTCCGTGGTTTTAGTCAGCAAGCGAACTATACCGACCGAGCGACCGTCGCTTGTCGGCGAAGTTAGTGCCATCTTTAGCGGATAGAGGGTGTCGCATGGTCAGCGCAACGAATCTCCACGGCCGTTAATCTCGGTTTTCTACACCGGAGCCGCTATTTCCTTGAAATAGCTCCTCAATCATCCTCACGAGGCTGAGTGGTCCCCGTTTCAGACCCACTACTTCTAAAAAATCTGGTAGCGTCGGGAATCGAACCCGGGTCCTCTGAATCTGTAGCCAGGAACTCTGACCACTAGACCACAGAGGCGGTCTCTCACAGATCTGAAAATTCAGTTCACAACCATCTTGGATGTTAAGCTTGCAGGTAGGTACCACCGTGTAGGAAGGATCCGCTACCTCCATCTTCAGGGCAGTATCTCAACTTCCCAATGTTCTCGGACAATTAATCGAACACAGGGAACTGCTTCACTCCTGGATGAAGGAGCTGGTTCATATTTGATGGCGATGCTCTTCGGAGAGACGTGATGTATGTAGTTGGCACAAATACGTAATGTGGCGGTGCGATGGTTAGCACTTTTTGCTTCCTGTTTAGGAACACCCGGCTTGGATTGTTCGCCAGAAAATAGGTCACTCAGACTTCCATAATTCGTCTCGGTGCATTGAGACAAGTACCGAGAGGGCAATATAGCAGACGGCAGATGAATCTATGTTTTCATATAACACTACTTTCCTTTTTCAAGTTGGTTGTTTAATGACGCTTTCAGTATTGAGACTATACAACGTCGAAGGCAGAATGATTAATGAATTTGGAACAGCTAGTGGAATGAGAATTGGCAGGGGAAAACGAAGTACTCGTAGATTATCTGCCCCAGTACCACTTCTTCCACAAAAAATCTCACACATGATATGACCTGGGATCGAGCCCTGGCAGCAGCGGTGGGAAGCAGGCGACTAACGGCCCGACCTATGGCATGGCTTATAGAATAATTTAGTTTGTACAGTAGATTGAAATAATATAAAGAGGGACGCGAACAGACGGCCTGAAAATAATACTGAATATTCTGATATGGATATCCTGATGCAGGTCAAGGTAGCTTGAACTGAAGCCACTTCAGTAAATGGGGAGCAGCTCAGTTCAACTCGCCTGTAGTAAAAAATCTGCTTAAATGCGGTGAAGGAAACTTTTTACAAAACACTGGTAATTTAGTTACGAAAGAAACGTCATAATGGTGTATCAAAATGCATGTCCACAAAGTCGCTGACATGCAAATACGCCTGCAGTAAAATAATAAAGCTAAAACTTACAACTAGAAATAAATTTAGTATATACTTCTTTATCAGATTTGTAGTACCGCTGTATCAACTACGGACTCTACGCAGCGGTGTCTACAATAAGAAGCAGTTTCTGGGATTGTCCGGTAGAGTTGGCCACTGTTTCTGAAGAACGTTCCGCCTCCATCAAAGAATATGCAAGCTCACTCTTCGATTTTGAAGATGGAAGAAATATGTTCATCCAAACGCCGGTGAAACCTACCGAGCTATAGAGCTTTAGAACCCAGTTGAATAAACGTTCGTGCCACGGTTATTAACGCTGAGTTGAAGGAATGTGAGACGTAGCTATCACAAGACAGAGGACTGTCGCGAGAAGTTCACGTCTGGATAGCTGGTTTCTCTATGGAGATCAGAGAAAATATTTTCCGTATAAAGATAAAATAATTCCACGCCATGAAGATGTATGGGGAGTGGAGGCATCACTCCACCAATCTCTCATAACTAGGCGGAAGTGAGGTGTCAGCTATCCATTCCGGCCAATTTACCTCCAAGAATACAACTACCAGTAGCCAATGTATAAGAGGATGACTGGGCCTCAGACGTTGCGAGAATAGAATATCTTGCCCCTACCGGGAACTGAACCCGACTACTCGGTTGTGCAGCCTATAGCCTATTCGCTATATCAACCAGTAATCATAAATAGAATACAATCATTGGGACCATGGTGTATTAATACTTTTCAATACCTTAAAGGAATACATGATATGAACTCCGTCTTCAGTGCAACCATGTATTATAAGTGTTTCGTTTTGCTCTGCTTTACACACTACATGTTTCGACCACAAACGGCCATCATCAGGTGTATTACTCACGTATCTGTCACACTGCACTTAGTTTAACATTTAAAATTTAAAAACACAGGTAGCAAAGACATGCAGCGGCACGCACACAGAGAGACTACACAGAATAACACTGGTACAGTACTAGATACAAGAAGTAGCCGCTGCAGCACTATAGACATAGGGCGAGTAACCCTGACATTTTTAAATTTTAAATTTAGAGGAAAATTGGAAAAGATTTTAAAATTAGAACTGAAGANNAGCAGTCTTCTGGGATTTGGCACCGTGTATATGTGGTGTTAACCGACGTTTCGGAGGAACGTATCGCCTCCATCTACAGGGTAGAAGAAAAAATATAAGAAATCTGCAAGCGAAGAGACCGTGAGAACCGGTAGAAACAGACAGTGTCTGCTTTTACGTTCCTCCGAAACGTCGGTTAACACCACATATACACGGTGCCAAATCCCAGAAGACTGCTTTCTTCAATACACCTGGTGATGGCCGTTTGTGGTCGAAACATGTAGTGTGTAAAGGAGAGCAAAACGAAACACTTATAATATATGGTTTGCACTGAAGACGGAGTTTGTATCATGTATCGTGTGGAGTGCAACAGGATG